GAACAACATTTTTATGATTTACCTGCAAATATTTCATGTTTTATAGGCCAGAAATACATGATAAATGTCCACATGACACATGGCTAGAATTCATTGTTAGGCCACATTACTTTAAAGAGTGTGTATTCCAAAGTTCACAAATGAGGAGCAGCATGCAAAAACAAAATATTGTTCACTTCTAATGATAATTCACTGCAATTCAACCACAAAAAGGACAATTGCTATATTTAGCAGTCCTAAAAATGGAAAAATGTCTACATCCATAAAAGAAGCTTTGTAAAAAATTAGGTTTTTGGCATGAATAGGGACACAACATCTCAACCTCTGCAGAGCAGAGAATGAACAAACTTGTATTATTGCTGTCACCGCCACACAGCTGCAAAAAATTAGGTTTTAGGTGTTGGAGATGCCCAAACACTAACTCCACAGAAAAATTCCCACAGAGCACAGGATGGACCCTGCTTTAACAAAAATTCACCATATCTGCAATTGTCACACAGCTGTGGAAAAAAAGGTTTTGGGTTTTGCTAGTGCCCAAACACCATAACCTCAGCCCAAAAAAATTAGAGGGTGGCAGGATCCCCCAAATGTTTAATGGCAGCATCTGCAGAGGGACTTGGTGGCTGTTACTGATCTAGAGCTGGTTAATTTTCATAAATGTCACTTGATCAACAGTATTCATAGACAGATGCAATCTTTTGTCTATCACCAAGCCCCCACAGCACTGAGTGTACATTTAGAGAGCAGGCTCTTTATTACATACTGGGCAAGCTCTGGCCAGTGGTCTATTCTCATGCCGCAGTAGTTGAGGGGACTGCTGTGACCTCACAGGGATGGTGTCTGGATAGATGCAAGGAAGTACTCCTCTGCTTCCTGCTGTTCTGCCTCAAGCGCCCTGTCCATGATGCCACAAAGTGTGCTCCAGCAGGAACAAAACTGGTACAGAGTCACCAATGCATCTATTGTCACGGCTCACCATTCTTGTCTCCTCATTAAAATGTGACAATATAATGCAGACATCCTGTATCAGCAGCCACTGGCATGGGGAAAAGAAGCCCAGCTCCACTGAGCTTGTCCTTGTGCCACACAGGTATTCATTGATGGTCATCTGCAGCATGGCCAAATTAGAGTTTCACCTCGTGGACATGTCAAAGATCAAGCAGGTTGCAGGCAGATGGAATTCCAGCTGAATTGCACCCAGCTGAACACTGGTTGGATATGACTACCTGAAATAGATGCAAAGTCTTCTGGCCTGCCTCAGAAGACCTGGTGTACCTATCCAAGAACTGCTTTACCTTTAGATTGAGGCTCTGTGCCAGGCACGGCATATGTGTAAACTTTCCCTGTTGGAGGGTGGACAGCAAATCACCACAGGGTTTACCACCTCTGGGCCTGCTCCGCAGAGCTGAAAAAATCTTTGGGTTCCTGTCCCCTAGGCAAACCAGCTTCAACATTGCTCACCATCTCTTAAGCTTGAGCTCTTGCAAAGCCTCTTGAACACTTAAGGGGGACTGAAGGATCAAAGGATGACTTAGCAGAAGTGCATGTTGAGGAGAAGGAGTAGGAAGACATGTAAATGACAATTATGGCAGTGTTACTATCAGCCTTAAGGACGCTGGACTGTGTGTGTGTGTGTGTATATACAGTATATATATATATATTCTCTGCCCATAGTTGCTGGGCCATGTGTCATGTGGACTTTACTGTTCACCATGTGGATGGCCTTATGGGCGAAGAAGTGGTGGAAACTTACCACTGTGGTACAGCACAGACCACTATTTTGCAAAAGGGTTTTTTTGGCATTTAGGCAATGAACAAGTCAATCAGAGCAAGGTTGCAACCTGCACTTGCCCCTGCTCTACATGAACCTCTGCAGACCCTCTTCCTTGCTAAAACTCAGACAACATTTGATATACCACCATCCCTATTGATGGAGGCTGCTGAAAGGAAATTGTGTATAGCAGGGGTAGAGGTGAAAATGGAGAATCTGGAAGAAGGAGGAGGAGTGCAACCCTTTTCCAGACAGCTAGTATTCTTGTGCTGTTCCCAATGAGCTGTGTGCTGAAAAGTTATACACGTGTTACCCAAATGGCCAATCGTATGGCCATGATTGATATGCTGGGACCAGAGACTGCAAATGACAATGGTGCATTTTCTCCTGCACACATGGTGTAAAAGGCCCACACAGCTGCACTCTGTGGAGAAGACTGGGGGACAAAAGTGTCCTGCACTCATGAAGCTCCAGAGTGGCTGCTCCATTCACTTTTCTGTGAGCCCCTGGAGGACATCCAGCCTCACTGACGTTGTGCCTCTCTCTCATTTTCCTCCTGGGCTCTTTAGACACCAAGGTACAGTTACAGCTTGGCAGTAAATTGTGGGAAAACTATTGCCAATTGGGTCTCCCTACCTCAGAAGCCATTACAATGTTGCACATCCTCTTCCAGCAAGTGGCTGCCACTGTGCTATAATAATTCAGCTGACTCCTCCACGATAGTTGGCAGGCCAGCAACAGTATTAGTTGTGGATGAGGAGGGTGCTTTGGCAACTGTGGTGGAGCATGATTTTGCCAGCCCCTGTGTGACAGAGGATGATTAAGTTTTGGTTAGCCACAATACCACCTCCTTCACATTCTCTGACTGTATAGAACGCCCAGCACCCAAGAAAAAGAGCAAATGTGGCCTGCCTGTAGATAATTACCATGTCCATGACCACCACGTTGGCCTGTGGACACAGGGGCTGCTTGCCTCTGATAGCTGTAAGTTTTGCCTTTCTCTGTAGGCCTGCCAGACATGATGCCAGCAGTCATGTCTTACTCCCTACTTTTTTAAAGCCTGTTGGAAGAACTGTATGAAGGGAAAGTGGTGTAAATTGGGGTGTTTTTTCAAATTAAACAGCGCCTCCATGATCTGTGGCCCTCAGCTGCAAACAAGGGGCATATGTGTTAACAGCAAACAGATTAACGGTGATGTTTCTGCCGCTGACCCTATAAAACATACCGTACATAGATAAAATGCCCTAACAAAATAAAACAAAAAAGTAAAAAATAGAAAATTACCCTCAAATTCCCAAACAAAAACACTACAAGCACCCTCTCCCCTCATTTTTAGTTCTATTTTTATTTTTGCTTTAGGAAAATATAAAAGAAAGTCAACTATTGTTAAAGAATAGCAATGAAATAGAAAAAAAGGGAGACCGCAGCAAAAAGGCAACACACACAGACAATGTCCGACAGTGGTATTGCCATTGTAGGGACTTACTCGCTCTTATTGTTAGCAAAGTGGAATATAATATTATATTATTTAAAAATATATATGCTATATTTTATATATTGAGTGTTTCCTGAAAGGAAAACTCTGCAGGAGATTGCCATATTGATATAGCTGTTTCCTGGCTCAAAGGGAAGATGCTGCTGTTAGTAATTATTATTACTATAATATCAAGGTTCACCAAGCAAGGTGAGAGTGTGTCCGCTGGGGAAAAGAGTTGGGTTATCTGAAGCCTGCACTGTCTAAAGTTGAAAAGAGATCACAAGAAAGCTTTGATGCCCACAAGAGTGCAGCTTTATGGGACTTAAATTATCTGTGCAAACTGCTTATATGTTTACACTATGCATTTTTCACCATTTGAGTAAGGTAAGGTTCAAACATAATGAAAGTCCAACCGGGAACTTCGAACTGAGACAATTCACTAAGTGGTATCTTACCGCATCCGAGTGAGCTGTAAGATACCGCACAGCTACTAAAATACTGCGTGAGTTATATTATGAAGTTGTGCAGTATTTTAGTAGTGAAAACATTCTTTAATGTTTCAGCTGTCACCGGGGTTCTCCTCTGACAGCTGAATGTAAAAAGAATTGCCGGCAATTAAAACATTTTTTAACAAACAGCATGGGGTCCCCCCCATCCATACCAAGCTCTTTGGGTCTGGTATGGATATGAGGGGATCCCCCATGCCAAAATTTAAAAATAAAAAAGGAATGGGGGTTCAAAATCCCTTATCCGAGCATGCAGCCCCGGCAGGTCAGGAAAGGGGGGGCAAGCAAGTGCCCCCCCCTCCTGAACCATACCAGGCCACATGTTCTCAACATGGGGGGTTGCTTTGGGGGGGGGGGGCTCCATCCCCAAAGCACCTTGTCCCCATGTTTATGGGGACAAGGCCCTCTTCCCCACAACCGTGGCCGGTGGTTGTGGGAGTCTGCAGGTGGGGGGCTTATCGAAATCTGAAAGCCCCCTTAAACAAGGGGGTTGCCAGATCTCGGTGCCCCCCATGTAAATGAGTATGGGGTACCTGGTACCGCTTCTCACTCACAAAAAAAAGTGTAATGTAAAAAATGACAGAAGACAGTCTTTGACAAGTCCTTCATTAAAAACAAAACTAAAAAAAATGTCCATTGAAGTCAACTTGAAGATCCAACTTTATTCATGATCTTGTGATGTCATCATGCACTGTGATTGGCCAAAGCATTGCACCTGACTTGTGGTCAGGTGCATTGCTTTGGCCAATCACAATGCACTGTCAGGAAGTTTACACCCTACTGCCCTCTGATCCTCCTAGACAGAGGCGGTCAGATCTCCTTCTGTTTTTTTATATGGACTGAATTGGATTTGAGGTAGATGGGTGTAAAAGGACACAAATCCATTTGCACCTGCTGGTCCTTAACCGCCTCCCGCCCGCCATATAAGGAAATGATGGGTGGGCAGCGGTTCTCTCGTTCTGGGAGGATCTCATATGACATCCTTCCACTTTAACCACGCGTGAGCTCCCCCAGGGGCACGCAGCATGGCGATCACCGATCAGTGGAAAGAGCCAATGATGTCGGCTCTGTCATGTGATCAGCTGTGTCCAATCACAGCTGATCGCATGTAAATAAGGAAATGCCGTTTATCGGCAGTCCTCTCCTCATGAGCTGTCACGTGGACAGCTCGTGAGGAGAGGAGAGCCGTTAATCAGCATTCCTCAGAGGAGACATATACATTGATCATCAGTGCCCTGATGATCAGTGTAGCCCCTGTAAGTGTCCATCAATGTCACCTGTCAGTGCCCATCAGTGCCACATCAATGCCACTTATCAGTGTCTACTAGTGCACATCAATGCCACATATCAGTGCCTACCAGTGTACATCAATGCCACATATCAGTGCCCTTCTGTGCTGCCTTTCAGTGCCAACTATCAGTGCCAGTCAGTTCCGACAATCAGTGCTGCCAATCAGTGCCACCTATCAGTGCCAGTCAGCGCCGCCTATCACTGCCCATCAGTACCACCTATCAGTGCCCGTCAGTGTCACCTATCAGTGTCCGTCAGGGCTGCCTAACAGTTCCAGTCAGTGCCGCCTACCAGTGCCTCCTCATCAGTACTTATCAGTGCCACCTATCAGTGCCCATCAGTGTAGCCTATCATTGCCCATCACTGCAGCCTCATTAGCGCGCCTCAGTGAAGGAGAAAAATCACTTATTTACAAAATGTTTAGTTGTTTTTGGTTTGTTTAGCAAAAAAAAAAAAAAAAAAACAAGAGGTGATTAAATACCACCAAAAGAAAACTCTATCTGTCTAAAAAATGCTAAAAATGTCATATGGGTACAGTGCTGCATGACCGCGCAATTGTCATTCAAAGTGCGACAGCGCGGACAGCTGAAAATTGGCCTGGGCAGGAAGGGGGTGAAAGTGCCCGGTAGACTTAAGGATACGTGGACCATCCTATCCACATGCAAACTTACAGGTATGGTATGTGCACTTTGCACTTTATTGTAATATACAAGTACTGTATATTTTTAAGATTTATTTTTTTATTTACACACACTTTTGGGATGTTAGATAGCTAAGTCATAGATAGCACATGTCACGTGCCTGTTGAAAAATATGTTTCAGGAATTGTAGTCAGTGTGTATTGACCAATTTTAAGTGCAGTTTTGTTTGGGGTTTTCTTTAGGGATATTATTGCTGTTCATTAGGCATTTTGCTAATACATAGGAACAGCTCTTGCCTGTCCATATTTTAGTTTACTGCTGTGATTCTTCAGTGTTTGCAGAGGTTGGGGTGTAGTGTTAGAGATTGCGGTTCACACTTTCTCAGGATTGGGGTTGCCACAGAAGCATTTAGGTTTAGGTTATGAGAAGAGACTGTGCATCACATTGGACTGTAGGAATCCTTGTTTTATTCCTATGCTTTTAGTGGCATATCTAAAATATAGCATTGGCAGCTAGGACACATGCCCTGCATGCCACTTGAAGTGGCAGCACAGTGGCCACACCACCCAGCAGCCTGGATGTCTTTTTCTTCTTCACTTTTTCCCCCCTACCTGACCACCCCTGTAGTTTCCGATGGGTCTTTCCCTCACCACCTTTGCTGTTACCCTCTGGTTGCTAAGACCACCCCATGTGCTGGCAACCAATCACACACTTGTCTATATACACAGTTGGACAGCTCCAAACCTCTGTCCAGACCTGCTCTGCCTCCCACCCTCTGCAAAGTTGTCATAAAGCTGCGTAAGGACTGTGAAGGGGGGATGTGATGTGAATGGGGATGAGGACATTGATGTAAAGGGGTACTGTGATGTGAAGGGGGCTGTGATGTGAAACAGGGGCTATGATGTGAAGAGCACTGTGATATAAATGGAGGGCTGGAAACTCTGATTAGAAGGGAGGATTCTGATATGGAGGGGGGACTCTGATGTAAAGAGGGAACTCTGATATGAAGAGGGAAGTGCAATATGAAGGGACACTCCTGATGTAAAGGGGAGACTTATGAAATGAAAATAGGGACTCTGATGTGAACATGATATACTGATGTAAAAGTGGGGAAGTTGATGTAAAGGGGAGTTCTTTTGTGGTTATTTTTTTGTGTGGAGTTGGAAGACCCAAAGCTGCTATATGTATGTGCAGGCTCCTCTAAGTCCTGTGAAATATCTCTCTTTCTGCTGTTCTATAGGAGACATCTCCCTGCCTATGGTCATATTGTGTTCTTTTCACATAAAGTCTTGTTTTTCACTGGCATTTTGCTCTATAGTCAATTTAGAACAAACAGTGAACCTCACCTGTCTCAATTGATAAAGCAAACTAGAGAAAAGTTTATTCATAATTTACTTCTATCAGGCAACTTTGAACATAAGCTCACTGTCAGTCATTAAAGAACAAAGGGAGGCAGTAGATGCTGCTTTTCAGTTTCACTGACAATGGAAGCAATGTCAAACAATTCTATGGTGTCTTTTTTTTTTTTTTTTTTTTTTATTTTGCAGTAACTTAGAAGCACAGCATTTAACTGCTTCCCATCCACCCACGGTCTATAAATGGCAGACAGGACATATCCAATCATATTGTAAACATGCTAAACTGAAAGTAAAGATTTGTTCTTTCTGCTCTCACACAGTTTGGCTGTGAAAGCAAAGAGAACTGTTGCTGAAGCCTGTGAGTGTACAGTAGCCTGTCAGTGCATGTACACTCACAAACTGCAGTGCTAGCCAGCCCCAGTGTCCCTGATCACTGCCCCAGTGCAGTAATAACATAGCAGCCAGCACCTGTCACCTGTCACAATATCACCAGTGCTCACAATAACTTCGCCATACACCATACCAATGTCCTGACCACCACCATAATGTACCAGCTTCCTGATCACCGCCACATCCCATACCAACACCATGATCACTGCCATATGCCATACCAACACCACGATCACTGCCATATGCCATACCAGCACCCTGATCACAGCAATATGCCATACCAGTGCCCTGATCACCATCATATGTCATACCAGTTCCCTGATCACCAACATATGCTGTACCAGCATGCTGCTCACCGCCATATCCCATACCACCATCCTGATCACCACCATACCCTATGCCAGCATTCTGATCACCCCATATGCCATACCAGCATCCTGATTACTGCCATTCCCCATACCAGCATCCTGATCACCCCATATGCCATACCAAAATCCTGATCACTGCCATTCGCCATACCAGCGTCTGGCATTTTAGGGTCTCAACTGATCAGTTTTCAAATATATATCCCATAGTTTGTAGACTAACTTTCACATGGACTAAATAATATACACACTGTTTTGGGCTATTTTTACCTAAAAAATGTAGCAGAATTCATTTTGGCCTAACTTTATGAAAAAAGATTATTTATTTGCTAAAATTTATAACAAAACTAAACAAAACATGTTTTTTAAAAAAACATTTTTGATATTTTTATGTATATAGCAAAAAAAAAAAAAAAACAAACTCAGTGGTAATTAAATATCACCAAAAGAAAGTTCTATCTGTCTCAAAAAATGATAAAAACTTCATATGGTTACTATGTTATATGACTGAGTAGGTGTCACTCAAAGTGTGACAGCGCTGAAAGCTGAAAATTGGCCTGGACTGGAAGGGGGAGAAAGTGTCTAGGCTTGAAGTGATCCCCAGAGCATTTGACATAATATGCAATTGTATAGAGCAGGGGTCCTCAAACTACGGCCCGCAGGCCGGATACAGCCCACGAAAAACATTTATCCGGCCCACCAGGCCAGCCGGAAAAAAGAAAAAAATTGTACAAAAAAAAAAAAACTGGCGCTGGCTGGCAAATAGCTCGGCTGCTCACTGGGTCCTCTGCTTGAGGACCCAGCGAGCGGCAGCCTGGAAGCCCAGAATTTCACCTGCTGCAGCCAGAGGAGCAACAGGAGATGATGAGCTCACATTAGGCACAGTGCATTGCGGTATCCAGTGTGTCAGTGTCCAGTGCATTGCATTGTCAGTGTATCAGTGTCCAGTGCATTGCGGTGTCAGTGTACAGTGCATTGCGGTGTCATTGTACAGTGCATTGTTGTGTCCAGTGCATTACAGTGTACAGTGCATTTTGTGTCCAGTGCGTTACAGTGTGCAGAGCATTACAGTGTCCAGTGTGTTAGAGTACAGTGCATTGCGGTGTCCAGTGTATCAGAGTAGAATGTGTTACAGTGTACAGTGTATTGCGGAGTCCAGTGCGTTACAGTGTACAGTGCATTGTGGTGTCCAGTGTGTTGTAGTGAACAGTGCATTCCGGTGTCCAGTGCCTTACAGTGTACGGTTTGTTGCTGTGTCCAGTTGTTACAGAGTACAGTGCATTGGGGTGTTCAGTGGGTTACAGTGCACAGTGCATTGCAGTTTCCAGTGCGTTACAGTATACAGTGCATGGTGGTGCCAAGTGCAGTACAGTGTACAGTGCATTGCGGTGTCAAGTGCGTTACAGTACAGGGCATTGCGGTTTCCAATGCATTACAGTGTACAGTGCATTACAGTTACAGTGTACAGTGTATTGCGGAGTCCGGTGCGTTTCAGATTACAGTGCATTTTGGTGTCCAGTGCGTTACAGTGTACAGTGCATATTGGTGTCCAGTGCATACAGCGTACAGTGTATTGCAGTGTCCAGTGCGTTACAGTGCAGCCCTTTACAAAATAATCTAGAGTGGGTGACTAGGGACAAAGAGAAAGCAAATTTATATAATACCTTCTTCAGCTCTGTGTATACAAAGGATCATGGGGGAGCTCTTGTCCATAATGGGCATGGTATTGACACAGCTCCAGATGATCCACATTGGCTCACAATTGAAATGATCCAAAAATATTTAGACAGTATAAAGGTGAATAAAGCACCTGGACCGGACGGCATACACCCACGGGTCCTTAAAGAATTCAGCTCTATCATTTCAAAGCCGTTGTTTCTAATTTTTAGGGACTCTTTAATGACTGGCATAGTACCACTGGATTGGTGTAAGGCCAATGTGGTGCCAATATTTAAAAAGGGGACAAAATCTTTAACAAAAGTAATTATAGACCTGTTAGTTTAACTTTTATAGTTGGGAAGATATTGGAGAGTTTAATAAAAGACCACATATATGAGTTCTTGCTGGAAAAAATATTTTAAGCAACAAACAGCATGGATTAATGAAAGACAGAAGTTGTCAAACAAATCTGATTTCTTTTTATGAGGGGGTGAGCAAAACCTTGGACAGAGGGGTGGAGGTGGACGTGGTATACTTGGATTTTGCAAAAGCGTTTGACACAGTTCCCCACACACGGCTAATGTGTAAGGTAAAGTCTATTAAAATCTTTAAAATTTAAATCTGTATGTAAATGGATAGAAAACTGGCTAAAAGATCGTATTCAAAGAGTAGTGGATAATGATTCATAATGAATGGTCTAGTGTCATCAGTGGTGTACCCCAAGGTTCAGTGTTGGGACCCTTACTTTTTAATATATTTATAAAGGATATTGGGTCTGAGATTAAAAATCCCATTTCAGTATTTGCAGATGACACCAAGTTGTGCAGTGGAATAATTTACAAGCCGACCTTAAGTCTTCAATTTACAAGCCGACCTCAATGCTCTGTTTAATTGGGTAACTATGTGGCAAATGAGGTTTAATGTTGATAAATGTAAGGTTATGCACTTTGGGGCTAAGAATATGCATGCATCATACATACCAGGGGGAGTACAACTGGGGGAATCAATG